TGGGAGAAGATTTCTTTCCCTTCTGATTTCAAAATCCTAGCAGCAGTCTCTAAATATATTTGTTTTGCAGCCCCCTTCCAATTCCATCTCCTCCAGGCTCCTGCCCTTCTTCTCCCTTGTAGCCTCGTGGTGAGAAATTAAGATGAGATTAGCTGTCTCTTATAGGAGATGTATAGTCTCTTCCCTCCTTTCATCTATCCTTTATCTCCTTCCTCTTCCTTTTTAGTATCCGCTTAATTAGCTTCGTCCTTGATACAATCAGCTTCCACTAATGTGTTTTTGTATATGCAGGCTTGGAAATGGTCAAGGGATTTACTCATACAAAGATTTAACTCTGCAACTCCTCGTCTCGTGTGAGCTGTACCTTCATTTACTTAATTTTTGGATTGTGATTAGTTTTCGTAGTTGGGTATTTTTCGGTTTCTTGTTCATAGAAAAAAAATTACTCATGCCGTATGTGCTTTCAGGAGTCGATGGTGTAGTGGAAGCAGTGAAGATTACACAACGTGCATCTAGTTTTCAAGGCTAATTGAGATCATGATGATAAGTTAATTATATATATGTACGTGTAAGAGCGACAACGACGACTTCTATTGCTAATGGTGATGTGAACAAGGGAAAGGAGTCCTAAGATGCCCTCGATATTTAGGGGATACTGTTTGTGAAGTTATCTTGTTCAAATTTGTAGGTTTGTTTGTAATTCACTAAAATATAGTTTTCAGTTTCTATACACTTGGTCCCTTTTCCATTGTACACACTATGGCTGGTTGGCTTCAATGAAATGAAAGGTGGATGTTTATTCAGTTTTATTTAATTTCAATTGAATTATAAAACAAACAAGAGCTACGTAATTGTGCTTTAACAATTTATTTTGATGCAAATATAACAGATTCAAATAACTAAGATTAAAAACAAAAGAATTTGACTCTAAAAGTCAAAATGGAGGCAACTATTTACGTCGCTAATAACTAATATGAGAAACAAAAAAATCTGCCTTTAAAGGTGAAATCCAAGACAAATATTTACGTCCCTAAATGTGAATATGGAGACAAAATAATAGTCTCCAAAAAAAGTCTTTAGAGACTAAAATATTAGATGAAGTTTTTCCCATCGGTAACAAATAATATTTGTCTCTCTATATTTGTCTCTGTAAGGCTATTGCAACAGCTCTAGAGGAGACAATTGTGGTATATGTCTCTAAAGTAATACAGAGACAAATTACGATTCTATAGAGACACATTTGCATTGTCTCTATAACCCATTTTTCTTGTAGTGCTTAGAACAACTACTAGTGTTTTCAGTATCTAAGTGGGATTGAGGTGCCCTTAGTGTTAATTCTACTACTAACATATAGCAACGAAAATCAAGATCTTTTGTCGCCATCTTTTGACGACAGATCAAGGTTGGGAATAGGGGGAACGATAGTATGGGCATGGGCATCTATTGAGATGGGCCATTCTGCAACTTTAAATCTCGACCAAAATCCAGGCCCATTAATATTTTTTTCATACCGTTTGAGAAACTGACAACTCTAATATGTCATCCTAATATAATGTTAAGGGTCATATTTCACATGACCTCCTACAATGTCTCTACTTTAGAACAACTACTAGTGTTTTCAGTATCTAAGTGGGGTTGAGGTGCCCTTAGCGTTAATTCTACTACTAACATATAGGAAAGGGAAACTAGATTTACAAGCAGTGAAGTAAAGTGCAGAAAGTAAAGCAAGTGAAGGAATAAGTAGCGAGTAAAGTGTGTTGTAGGGAAGCATGAAGTAAGTGCATTGTTCTGGATAGTTTCACCTAGAGTGACTAACTAATGATCTAACTATCAATATATCTTTTAGAAGTTTCTGATGAGTACACGCCGGCTGGAGTTGAGCTAATGTTCAAGGAATGTGGTTGGGCCGAAGGTGATTATTGTTCTTTCTTAGTTAGTACGTTACATGGGTTGATTAATTATGGGTCTAGGGGGTTTACGTAGCTAATATGTGGTTGAGTAATATTTAGGTGGTCTTTTACCTTTTGGGTTACGTAATGGGCTAGGAGTTAGCTTGGGTGTTGGCCGAGAGGCCTAGGGAACTAGGAGGGTTCGGGTTAGCGAGAGTTACGTATTAGGTTTAGTTGCCCATATATTGTAATCACGGCATTAGTCCGGGGAACCAATCAATAATAAAGCTAAAACAATCTTTCGACACTTTACGTCGTTCTCTCGCTTGTGAGTTACGAGCAAAACCCTAACCCGATAGCAACAAGTTGCTATCAGTTTCCTTACTTAGGTATACCTTATTGCAATCCTCTTAAGACATACTCCTACCAGGGAGGCCTCGTATGTGTGGTCTCATCCAACCCAAGTCAATTTATGAAACATTAACATAAAAAAAGCATGCAAAATCAAAGGATTCAAGCATATTTCTTGACTTGGTGATCTAGTGATTATACTAGGCATGTGGTCTCGTCAAACCTATGCTGATCATTGATTATGATCACACATACATGCACCCGATCTCGTAAAATATGCATGTGCAACAATACTAATAACATATATACATTCCCCAATCAACAAAGGGTGTTTATCTCGACACAGAGAACGAGAACATCAATATGTTGACGACATCAATGATGAAACTTCCATCTCCCATGAAAATCTACTAAAAGGTTTATACTAAGGTGTGAATGATGGATTACCTGAAATGTGTTGATACTTGATTAACAATCAACGATGCCTTAACAACTCAACCTAGACCACCAATTCCCCCCCCCCCCCCCCCCCCCCCCCCCCCCCCCCCACTACTTTTTTTTACATCAAACATCATTCATTTCATTCCAAACCCAAACAAGTGGGAAGAGATACAATTACAATAATGGAGCCACAAGGTCGGCAATGACAATACATTCCGGAGGAAAGAGATCAATTCGAGTGTTCCTTTCGATCCAATCAGCCAACGAATTGAATCTACGGGGAGCGAACCCAATCAAAATCCAAGGAGAAACGTAGAGAATGGAAAACACATGGGCAAGGGTTGCCCGACACTGCCAAGGCCAAAGGCTCGGATCCTGCATCAACGCAACCGTCAGCCGCTAACAGTCTGACCTGATACACGTTGGTACTGGATCCTGGGCCGCCAGGATAACTGCATTAAGAATTGCAACAACTTCTGCTTGAATCGGAGAATAACAAAAGAATCTCTCAGCCCTTGCGTCGAAAATCTGACTGTGGGAATTAGCAATAGCAATCCCATAAGCCGCCACCTGTGCATCAGAAACAAAGGAACCATCACAATGCACAACCTTACAAAAAGGACCAGGCGGTGATAAGGTCGACGACCGAGAACCCCCAGACTGAGAAGGCAGTCCAGCTGATGTAGAAGGTGTGGAAGCTGAGGGGGAGATCCTAGCTTCCTGAACGTTTCGGACATCACGATCAGCTAAAATTGCCACAGCGGGCGGGGAAAATGCCCTTCCCTCAAAGACCATACCATTCCAAGCAATCCAGATATTCCACAATGAACACACAATCTTGGTAACCTGATCAACTATCAATCGTTCACGAAGACCGAAGAACCAACCCGCAAAGGTTGCGTCAGCCTCCGGTAGAACATTCAAGAAGCCAATCCGGGGCCAAGTCTCATATGCCTTAGGACAAAAAAAAAAAAAACAAGAAATGCAGTATCGTCTCATCATGTTCCTCACATAGCGGGCACGAAGGATAAGGAGTACATTTATGTTCAAACAAAACAACATAGCTCGTGTTGCAATTGCATTTTTACCACACTTCCAACTGAAAAACCGAAGCTTTGGGGGAAGCTTAAGGTCCCACAACCATTTCCAGTCGTCCCTGTTTGGTACAGAAGAGGTATCCATAACATTCACAGGTGGAGCATCACGACTCTCCCGAAACATCCGGTAGGCAAACTTTACGCTGTACCTGCCTGACTCCGAACCTCTCCAAATCTAGCCATCATGAGCGGAGGGCGGGCCAATTGGCACCCTAAAAATGGCTTGAGCAATTTCATCTGGCACAAGACCCTTATTTCATCCATTTTCCAACTGCGAGTTTCTTGATCAATCCAATCACCGACTTTTGATGGCTCCAAACCAAGATGAGACAGGATGGAACATGGAAGGGAAGGCAGCCAGGGGTCGCAGTGGAACCAAGAATCCTCCCCAGACATAATCCCTTTCAATAACCCACTCTTCATATGCTCCTTAGCCTCACAAAAACCATTCCAAATCCATGAACTCTTTCTCCTTTTTGTTGCCGAAAAGAAATCGCCATTGGGAAAGTACAGTCCTTTCAAGAGTTTAGCCCACAAGGAATCGAGATTATCAAACATCCGCCAAACCTGTTTCCCAATAAGCGCAAGGTTGAAAAGGTGGAAATTCTTAAACCCCAATCCTCCCTCATCTTCAGTTTTTTCCAGCTCCTTCGCATTACACCAATGAATAGCCCTCTTCTTCATGGATCCCGACCAAAAGAAACGTTTAAGGATCGAGCCCAGTTTTTTGTCATGTTCAAAGACAGCAAGAAAACACTCATGATTTAGGTAGGCAAAGCTTGTATCACTGCCTTCAATAAAACTTCTTTTCCTCCTGGTGATAACAAAAGGCTCTTCCAGGATTCACCTTTCTTCTCCATTCGCTTCACAAGAAACCTGAATGTTTCTCTTTTGGATCTGCCCCATTCAGTAGGAACTCCCAAGTATTTGTCGTGACAAACCGCCGGCGGAAAGCCGAACTTATTATTGCTGACAAGAATTCGAATAGCAAAGGGAGCGTTCTTACTGAAAAAGATATAAGATTTAGATGCATTGATTTCCTTTCCAGTTGTGTCTCCATAGATCTTGATGATATCCATAATCCTATCAGCTTCCATGACGCTAGCTTTGCCAAAAATGACAGTATCATCCGCAAACAAACAATGAGAGATTCTTGGGCAATTCTGATTGAGCTTGATGCCTCTAATGACAGTATCATCCGCAAACAACCTTCAGCCTACCAATGTCGCCCCCGTCGTTGGACAACCTTCCAGCTGTTATGGCAGCTGTTGAGGCCACCCTCACCACAACCATCTCGCAGCAGTTTGCGGAACTTCGCTCGATTATTGCGAATCTCGCTCAATCTACCACTACCAAGTATGAAGCCCTCGAGCAGAGGGTTGAAGCACTAGAACGTCATTCAACCTCAGTGACCACGATGCTAGAGCCGCTAAGTACCACACCGGCCAAGCCAACTGTGGTGATGATGACTTGATATTTGCACATGTTTTCCCCTTTGTTTCTTGATCGTTTAAGCTTTCATTCTCGCTTCTTTGGCCTATTTTATGCTAGGCTTTGTTCCTTTGTCACATTTCAGGTGCTAGCACATAAAGTGAAGCGTAGGCGCAAGTTTCAAGTTAATTGGAGATCAATTGGCGACTCGGGGGAAGAAACTCGGAAATGACTTGAAGAAGAATGGATTTCGACCTCAGTTTGTGACCATAGAATCATGTAATCTTGTTATTATAAGAAAGAGGACAAGACTACGAGCGCCTGGGATAAAACGACACCTAATTTGGAGTCCGAACGAGGGAGAAACGGAGAATCAAAGATAGGGGACCCGGAACTGCAAAATACCCGACCGGGTATTTTGACCATCTGATAGGGTATTTTTGACAGCATTAGAAGGCCCCCCGGTCGTGAACTAAAAATACCCAGATGGGTACCCATAATACCCGACTGGGTTGCAAACGTAGGCTGTTAAAAGCCTGTTTTGTGCGTTTTTGGAGGAGGAGAGCTGGGTTTTGGATCCCAAACACCCAAGGGACGAGCGAAAGAGAGAGAGAGAGAGGGCGATTTCAGGGCATTCTCGGAGTGGAATTGGAAGCTCGAGGAACAAACCCGGACTTGAAGACTGATCATCTGAAGATTCTTACTGCATTCTCTCTCTTCTCTATGGTGTAACTTCCCTTTACTTAGGGTTTGAGGAACCCTAGCTACGTTTGTTAGATTGGATGATTGTATGAGTACTCCTACTTGATAATATTGAGTTCATATTCAATCTATGCACGTTTTCATGATTCAATTATGCTTTAGTCGAGATTATTGATTCTGCTTTGATCCTATGAGAGCGAATACCTGATTAGGTCAATAGAGCACCATAGATTGATAGTATTGGATCGATTGCTTTAGTCGAGGGTCGATTCACTGCTTTGTTTTGATTGAGAACCTAATTCGATAGAGGGAGTCTAGTTCATAATGCCTTGATCGGTTTTTCTAGAGAAGGATACGCCCCTCTAGGCAATCGACTCAAGAGGGCTTTGATCCTTTAGTCGAGATTCAAGGTCTAGTCAAGGATTCTCCGCATTGTGAATGAAAGTGAAACAAGTTAGAAATCATCAATCATTAATCTAGCTAGTGGCTAGGGGGAATCATACCTAAGTGAGTTCCCAACCTATAATTAGATTAACTTTAATTGTAGTTTGTGAGAGTAGTTTTAGTTCTTCCATCTTAGTCTAGTACTCTAGTTTGCTAGATAATGAAATGAAGCTAAGTAATATTAACTCTAGAGACTCGTGGATTCAATATTTATTACTTGAGCCACTATACTGCAGTCCTTTTCAGCGGTTACACTTGGCCATTGTTAGGAGTTGTGTCATAGCGAGTCAAGTTTTTGGTGTTGTTGCCGGAGACTTTCTAGATTATTAGGAAAGGCAGAAGTTTGTTACTTTAGCATTTTTCTTTTCTTTTCTTTTCCACCCTTGCTTTTCACTTGGGTGTTTTTGTTTTTGTTGGTGCAGATCTGAATCATGGATCCTCATGGCTTCTCTCACCATTGGGGGTATCCACCACCGTCCGAGTGGTATTACCCCAAGACTTCCTGGAGCAATCAAGGAAGAGAATACTATGGATTCGGATTCCAGTACCAACCCCCTTACTATGGAGAAGAACCGGACCCTTGGACATTTCAAGAACAATATCCTTATGAAGAAGAATTCCTCCCACAACCAGAAGGGCCATCAAAGCTAGAGTTAGGCAGGGCGGCCTTCATGGGCCATTATCCAGGGCCATGCTACACTCCACGACAAGATCCAAATTATGAATTGAGGCTTCTCGTGGAGCAGTTTGCTCGGGACACCGAGAGACGCAATCGCAATATGGACCTCCTTTTCCCATCTTTTGCTCCTCCTAACTCTTCATCCCTTCGTGAATCAAAGGAGATTGTTCCGCACTCAGCAATGCAAACAGAGCGGGTGGAGCAAGTTTGTGCACAACTTGCTCAAGATCACCCTTCTGATACCATACTACAAGAGGAGGAGGAAGACGATGGCTATAAGGACATTGTGGAGCAAACAGAAGTTGTCACGGAGAGCTCCCGTGAAGATCATGATCAAGAATGTACTGTTGTAGTCGACCACACCTTCCCACATCCCACACCGAGCTTTTAAGAGGTGGGCATGAGCAATGAGATGCAAGATGATCTCATGGAAGAAATTGCTTGGCAACTTGCTCTCCAATCCGTGCTAGAAGAAGAAGAGTGAGAAAGGATGAGGAAAGTAGTTGTGGAGGATGACGGAAGTGAATTAGAGGAAGTTCTTGATCTTTTCCGAATGGAGGAATTAAATTCTGAAGAAGGAAGGGGGCTTGAAGAAGCAATTGGCGTCCACGCAAGGGACGAAGTTGAGGTGGAAGAGGCTTGCACAGGCCTTATGTTGCAAGTAATATACCCACCAAACTTTGAGGAATTGCTTAGCAAGGACCCATTTGCAATGTCTCTTTGCCAGACCAAGGCCACATCGACATCGGTCCCTCTTGGTGGACGCGATGGTGGTCAATCATTGTTGTCATATCTGGTTTGGGGCAATGAGACGAGAGAAAAGAAGAAGAGGTCTCGAAGGTGGAGACTTCATCTGCATCAAGTGAACAAGCTTCAATCACCTGTCATACCACATGTGCATGACTTGAGACTCCACCTCATCGACGAGAACCTCAACTTCAAAGAGGTTCTGCGGTGGACCGAAACTTAGGAGCCATCTTCCGGCTCACGAAGGGAAAGAAGCGCTTGTTGGGAGGCAACCCAACCAGTCGGTTTGCATTTCTTTCTCTATTTCTCCTCGGTTGAGTCAGTTTTGTTCTTTGATTTTAGAGTCAATAACTCAACCTTTGTGAGATTTTTTGTGGTGTTTGTGTTCCGACTTCTCTCTCCTCTTGGATTGCACCGTCTACCCCGTCCACCATCATTCACCCTTGATTTGGCTGTATGTATGTTCTTGGAGCCTAGTCCACTGTCCAAATTTAGATCTGAGTGCTCCAAGTACGTGTTTCTTGCAATTTCCTGCTCAGTATGCTTTGAATTAAAGTCTCTATAGTAATGTGCAACCTAGGGAGGTAGTGTAGCACTATGGAGGATGTTGATGCATTTAAGAAGTCTCATTTCTTCTTCATATTGTATTGGTTGATTGTGTGAATAGGTGATCTTAGGACCCTTGAATTGTTTGGTGTTGTGGACTCTCTACCTGTCATGGACTCCTATATCATGTTTTGAAATAAAAGGTGCTCGAAAATGTGCTTTAAAATAACGTCTCCCGTGCGAATAGGGCGAAAGTGTGTAAGGGGAGACGGGAATCCGTTCCCAATTTCAACCAACTACCTCCAACCCCCTTACATTTCTTTCTCCCACACGAGGCTCGAGACATCCGCTCCTGACATGGCCGGTAAGAGCCGAGCTCCCGCAAGACCTCTGCTAGGTCGGAGCCCCCATTTTCTGAAAAACAGGTTGGAACCCTTGAAAAGAAAAAGAAATAAAAAACATAAAACAAGAAAAAAAGGGGTTCCAACCATCTTCAAGAAGAAAATAGAGCACCTTAAAAATGTGATTCCATGATCTTTTGTTTTGAGAGTCCATTAGTCCACGATTTATTTGTCCTCTGATCACTATTTGCCATGATGCCGACTAGAGACTAGCATTCTCGCCAAAGAAGTTATGAGATGACTTGTGCGTCGGTTGACCTCGTAAGCTACTAACTGATCTAGAAAATCCTCTATCAACGATCGAGGGTGCATGTTTCTATAGAGGTCTTGAGAGCTGCATTGGTTTGAGTTAGGTTTGCTTGGGGACAAGCAAACGGTTAAGTATGGGGGATTTGATGACTTGATTTTTGCACATGTTTTGCCCTTTGTTTCTTGATCGTTTAAGCTTGAATTATCGCTTCTTTGGCCTATTTTACGCTAGGGTTTGTTCCTTTGTCACATTTCAGGTCCTAGCACATAAAGTGAAGCGTAGGTGCAAGTTTCAAGTCAATTGGAGATCAATTGGCGGCTCGGGGGAAGAAACTCGGGTATGACTGGAAGAAGAATGGATTTATACCTCCGTTTGTGACCATTGAATCATGTAAGCTTGTCATGAGAAGAAATAGGACGAGACTACGAGCTTCTGGGATCAAACGACCCCTAATTTGGAGTCCGAACGAGGGAGAAACGAAGAATGAAAGATAGGGGGCCCAGAATTGCAAAATATCCGACCAAAATACCCGACCAGGTATTTTGACCATCTGATAGGGTATTTTTGACAGCATCAGAAGGCCCCCCGGTCGTGAACTAAAAATAACCATCCGGGTATCCAAAATACCCGACCGGTTCGCGAACGCAGGCTGTTAAAAGCCTTTTTATGCATTTTTGGAGGGGGAGAGCTGGGTTTTGGATCCCAAACACCCAAGGGACGAACAAAAGAGAGAGAGGGTGATTTGAGGGCATTCTTGGAGTGTAATTGGAGAATTTCTTTGCCTTGGAAAATCTCGAGGAACAAGCCCGGACTTGAAGACTGATCATCTGAAGATTCTTACTGCAGTCACTCTCTTCTCTATGGTGTAACTTCCCTTCACTTAGGTTTTGAGCAACCCTAGCTATGTTTGTTTGGTTGGATGATTGAATGAGTACTCCTACTTGATAATCTTGAGTTCATATTCAATCTATACACATTTTCATGATTCAATTATGCTTTAGTCGAGATTATTGATTGTGCTTTGATCCTATGAGAGCGAATACCTGATTAGGTCAATAGAGCACCATAGATTGATAGTATTGGATCGATTGCTTTAGTCGAGGGTCGATTCACTGCTTTGTTTTGATTGAGAACCTAATTCGATAGAGGGAGTCTAGTTCAGAATACCTTGATCGGTTGTTCTAGAGAAGGATACGTCCCTCTAGGCAATCGACTCAAGAGGGCTTTGATCCTTTAGTCGAGATTCAAGGTCTAGTCAAGGATTCTCCGCATTG